TTTTGTGAACCGTTTCATGTTGGTTTGTCCTAACGCGAAATTGGCCGCTGTGTTAATTGTATTGCAATGGCGGTAATGCGTGTATGTAGTGTGTGGATAGAAGAAGGTAGAGGAACACGAAGAAAGCCAACTGGTATACAGAGGCCAGGGTTGCCAGGCGTGGCGATTTTTCGACAAAGTGGCGAATTGGTGAAATCCGGCGATTCTTAGCATTTCGGGCGCCATTTAATTCGTAATCATATTTTGTTGATACATGAATATCCATAGGAGGCCTGGCAACGCTGACCGAGGCGTACCACAGAGCGTCAAGATAGGCGCTTCAGACAAATAACCTTACGATACCGTTTTGCTACTATGCGTCAAATCGCTGGCCAATAGTTTTTACTTTTTTCATACTGTCCACGTTTAGTGCTACCTCTGACTGCGGACCACTGTCATCAACGTTTGAACTGGGGGCAATGAACGATAACATTGAGAGGCAGAATGGCATAATGTCATATTCAGAGAAGAATCGCGATTCTGTCTGGGTACGTACGATGATCGTAGAAGGGTAAGACGCCGCCGTGGAGAATGACGTGATATTGGATTTGCTGTTGAGGGGCGTGTACACAGGATTGTCGGAGTAATGGTTTGGGGGGCCTATGGTAGCCGATCACCCCTCATGTTTATTCAAGGCAGTATGACTCTTGCGCGTTATGTTTATGACGTCCTACAAACCGCTTTTACTGCCGTATCTAGAGGGCCGTTCACGCGTCCTTTTTCAGTAAGACTGAATCATTGCCAAAGAATCAAATTGAAGACATTTCACTTCTAATGTCACTGAATATATTTAGAAATATATGTAGGAAATTAGGAGTGTTAAGAAGTGTATGGCCAGCTCCAAAGTACCATCTTCAAACCGGTGAGACTGAAAAATCACGAATGCCATGACCTTACAGCGTCTGCATGTATCACTTTCACTTGCCTTTGGAGGATGCTCCTAACAACCTTCTTATACAATTTCGAAGATAACGAACGTAACGCTGTGCGAGATGGTTTGGCCTGTCCAGAATGCCGGGCTTTCCTAACGTTGATCGATGACAGCTCGAAAATGCACGACGGAATTTCACTTTTGTTTGCTTTTGCTTTCGTCGATCGCGGATTTTTGCGATCATGCTAGTTCCGGGCACAAGGAGTATCAGCGTTTCAGATGCGTTGCGGTTTCGTCTCACACGCCGTCTGGCGACGAACTGTTGTAATCGACATATTATGTTTTATGTACAGGGTGTCGCATTTTCGATGAAATTACGGGGTATCTTGCTTAAGAGTAAGATAGATAGTTGAAAGTTTCGCGATACCGTGCTACTTTTTGTGAAAAGACAGATGGCACAAATAAAATTTACATTTCCCTCTTCGTTTCCGTGATACAGCACGAAATTGCAAATTTTGCTTTCTGGGACCAGTAATCATAAATACTTGATCGCTTTTGAAGGGATCGATAACAAGTCTTAGAATTTTTTGTACTGACAATTCGTATATAGAAAATACATTTCTGTCTATGGAAAATAAATCGACTCTGCCTGCGTCTGACTGATTCGCCAGCGTTCTCGATCTCGAGGTTCTGTATCGTAGCTGGCGCTTATGGCACGGCTGACTGGTGTGGTTCAGCAGCGTTGCCAGACGTTCGACACTTGGGGCAGCGAAAAAACTAGCGTTAACCTTATCAAATGGGTGGGGTCTGTGAACTAACTGCATGGACCTATACTAAGTGACGTATAAATCCGAACACCCAGTTTAAATGGTTTTATTTTAATAAAATTTGGTGACTGTATTTATCTTACTGTAAATAACAAGTGAACAAATTTTCAGCCTTATCAGTTGGACATTCCGGTTTTTATACTGCTTTTTTTTATTCACTAACGCTCTAAAAATGAATATTCCAGCCGCAGTAAAGAATCAACGTTGGCGGATTTTGGTTCTTGACATCCTTTACGATCGGTTACAATGCCTAGAGTACGGAGACCTGTACGATTTCGTCAACTTAGTGAGTTTGATAGGGGCCGTATAGTGGGACTTCGGGAAGCTGGACTTCCTTTTCGGGCAATTGCAGTTAGAGTGCAAAGAAGTGTAGACACTGTGGTTAGGTGTTGTCAGGCATGGCTTCGAGAAGGCCGTACGCAAAGAGCAAGGGGCACTGGACGCCGCCGTAGAACAACAGACCGTGAAGATCGCCGCCTAAGATTATTGGCCGTAAGGGACCGTTTCTCCACTACTAGGTCCATTGCAAATGAATGGTTTGCAGAACACGGAAGACCTATTGGCATGCGAAGTGTTACCGACGAATGAGAAGTTTTGGCTTGTTTTCATACCGGCCACACTGGGTCCTCCCTTTAACTCGAGAACACCGACGTAATCGCCTTGAGTGGTGCAGACAACGGTCACTCTGGGATCAGGAATGGAACAGTATTGTCTTTAGTGACGAGTCTCGATTTTGTTTAGGCATGCACGATGGTCGTTCCAGGGTTAGAAGGCGACGTGGTGAAAGGAGGAATCCACAGTTTTTTGTTGAAAGACATGTTCATCACACTGTTGGAGTTTTGGTTTGGGGTGCTATAGCTTATGGTTCCAGGTCACCTTTAATCTTCATCAGAGGTAACATGAACGCGCAGCGTTATATCCACGAAGTTCTAGAACCACATCTTTTACCCTATCTTGACACCCTGGCAGATCCAACTTTCCAACAAGGTAATGCCCGACCACATGTTGCAAGAGTCATAATAGACTTCTTTCAACATAATGATGTCACATTGTTACCATGGCCACCAAGATCTCCCGACTTATCCCCAATTGAGCACGTGTGGGATATGATGGGTAGGAGATTGCTCAATTTGCAACGTCCTCCTCAGACTCTAGAAGCACTTCGAGAGGAGTTGGTGGTTGCCTGGAATGAGATACCACAGGAGGACATTGACCACCTGATCAGAAGCATGCCTATGCGCGTTGGAGAATGCGTAGCACATCAGGGTGCATCCACACATTATTAAAGGTCAAAGGGCTTTAAAGCAGTGCAATCATTTTGAAATTTTTATCGTTTACTTATTATGCTTCATTAAGTACTATACAAAATTTTATTAAAAATAAAACCATTTAAACTGGGTGTTCGGATTTATATGTCACTTAGTATATATCTGAGACAGACAAAATTGATCAATCATCGGGGCCCACACAGTTTTTTTTAATGTTTTGATAATGTTTTATTATACAAGGAACGTGAATCAGCACCTATAGTTGGCACTTATAATTCCTATTCATTTTCCTAATCTTTTAATATAATTCAAGATGTGGTCAAAAAGGTACGGTTCAAATTCATTCTATAAGTTACTAGTTTAATCTTCTTTGGCGAAAATTATTTACATTATTAAATTTAAATCTCGCTAGGGCAGATGCGATCCAAAGGCTCCAATCTGGTTCCCAGCTACCGCGGTCAGAATGCCCTTTC